TCACGCTGCTGGAACGGATCTGATTGCTTCAGAACCAGTCAGAACCTTTGTGTCGCTGCAGAACCTTCAGTCAGAGCAGTAAAGGTTCTCCTCCTCAGTGGGAGCAGAACATCTCAGCATCTGAAGCGGTCCATCGCGGTCCAGTCCATGCAGGCCTCTGAGCCTGGGTAGGACCTCTGATAGGGTCTGATGGACTCAGACTGACCCGCTCTGACCTGCTGGACCTACAGGGATCTGATCTGGAGGTTTATCCTCACCTCAGCGATGCCTGGAGTGATGGTTGGAGCTGCGATGAAAACCACGTATGGCGCAAACTCTCCCGTCCGCAGGACCTTCAGGGCCTGAAAGGAGACCGATGTTAGAGACTTCTACGCTCTTTGAGACCCGAACCCCTACGAAAGGTCCGGCAGTGGGACCACAAAGTCCATACAGACCTGAGGTTCAACGTCTACGATGGCCACCAATCCCTGCTGGTGGATCTTGCGGATGGTCTCCAGCCGCGTGCCGTACATGGCGTCCTCATGGCTGCCGTACTCCAGGTACTCGTTGTTGCTAATGTCCTGCATCATCTGGTCGTGGGAGACAAAGTAGTAGTTCTTCCCGTTCTCCTCGTCCTTCTTTGGAGGTCTGGTGGTGTCTGCAGGGAGAGAGAAACAGGAAGTGAGGATTCCCACTTCCTGTGCCGCATGGCGGATGCTCGTTGCGTGGAGCTTACGTGGGATCGGGTAGGCGAACCGGTCCGGGTGTTTGGTGATCAGCGTGTTCTTGATGTGTCTTCTGCCCACTCCATGAGCACCTGAGGGACAAACGGGTTAAAGCGGCGGGTCCATCAGCGTCCTGGAGTCCTGCCATGTCCCACTCACCCAACAGGACCAAGGTTTTCCTCCTGAAGGCTGGGAGCTTCACCACCTCCTCATAGGTGACCAGGTCTAGTTGGTCGAACACTGGAGGAGAAGGAAGGAGAGCAGAGTGAGTAGAACCCACCCACCGAGCAAAAACTGCTTTATAAAACCACATGATCTACGTCCAACCAGTCTACGTTTGATTTAAAAGGAAAAAGATCTTATTTTCACATCTTTGAAAACTTTTCAACATCTTTTATTGGACTAAAGTGGGACAAAGTTGGAAGCTAACAAATCACCAAAGATACTTTCACTGGTAAAGATCTAGTGCTGCACTTTGGGAGAATCGACTTTCCAAAAGTTGAATCCAAGATCCATTCAGGATCTAAAGATCCATTCAGGATCTAAAGATCCATTCAGGATCTAAAGATCCAGTCAGGAC